AAGGTGTGTTTACCATCTCCTGCATTAGCTTCTGATAGAAAATAGAAATAAATAGTGAAACAGATCTACGTCACCCTGTCACTTAACATTCATGGACTCACCCATCTTGACTATCAACACAGAAGGATGTTGTTGGTTTAGCGTCCAGGAAACAGCAGAGAACATCTCTACTAGTAGAAGCTAACTGTTAGCATTAGCTGTCCTATTCTTTTCCATTGTTGGACGATACAAAATTTCTCAATGTTTACAAAATGTACCTAAAACTTAAATTGTGATTATAAAACAATGGTAAAAGATATCAAGATGCGGAGTCACACGGGAATAGCTGAAATTGTTGTGAACGATTTAGAGTTTGAATGAAGTCTCTAAGTTCAAGTATGCCAAAGTAGTTGAGTTCAAACGGCTGAAAGGGTTTTGTGAAAAATCTGAGGATTGGGAGGATTTCCTGTGTTTTCCAACGAGCCAAAAAAAGGCAGAAAAAGCTGAATATTTCAAAAAGTATAAAAATATTTTAATACCAAAATTCATTCCACCTTAGAGCAGAACGAGCTGAAAGTTTTTATACCAAAATAGCCGAATAAAAAATTAAGAATTGTTGGCCAATCAGAGGCAAATATCAGGAAATAAGGCTCCAAATCCAGTCTTGCTCATCTTATCTCTGATTTAGCTCACTTCTAATTCCTGAAACAGGTGACACCGGAGCTTTTTTTCCCCCAGAGCATGGCTTACAAGGCAATAATTCTCACTAGAGACTCCTGCTAATGTAGGGATTAAACAAGTGAACCACACCTTTAAATCTTTAGGATTTCAACCCTAGACACAAAATCAGTCAAAAATAAAAAGTAATTTTATTTTTATGAATATTCTAATCTTACTATATCAACTACATCATTATTTAGCATGTGAGAACAGGTTTAATTTAATCAGAGGTTTAGAGCTTCAACAGTGAGGAGGATTAAGTTCTCATACCGAGAGAAAGCTTAAAATGTTTCAAAATGCAACAAACTCCAATTTGTGAATTCTTCATTTGTTTGAGAGTTTAATTAAAAGCAAGAAGAAAATAAATTGCTTTCTAGTCTCTTCACTGACAAATTAGGTTATCAGAAAACAGACAAAGAACTGTTCTTTTATTTTACTTTCCACACGCTTCACAATGTCTGGAAAAAAACATAATATCATTGTTTAAAAATGAAATTTAAATAAAATTCTACAATCAAATGAAAAACAAGGGCGGCATCACGGCTGCCGCCTTCTTTGTCAAGCGCTAGAGGAAAAAAAGCCTCATAAATCTATTTTAAATATGTTGTGCTCGGTTTTCCTTCCTTTAATTACCCTGTTAATTGAGCTTTTTCTTATCCGGTAATCGCTCGTCTGTATAAATAATTCTCGGTTTCCTCGTCCGGTTTGCCAGGTGTGTTTCACCTCCGTGTGTTAGTGGCATTTCCTCTTTAACTGGTGCCCCCCCGACTCATTAAGGAGCCTTAATGTTTCTGTACACTGTCCCTTAAAGGGACTTTACGGAGTTTTGAATTTTTATGCTCGCGATTGCCCCCTCAGGCCAAAAGCATAACAGCAGCTTCAATAGTAGGCTCGTGCACGAGGCGCGCATGCTGTACGTGCACACTCCTTAACGAAAATAACAGCTGTGTGTGTGTGTGGGGGGGGGGGGGGGGGGGGGGGGCAGAGGACAGGAGAACGTGCAGCTAATTAATTAAATAATTTGGTTCTGTACCTTTCTCTTCAGCACAGCCGACAAAGGTTTAAGATGGGTCAGTCCTCCTGCATGCTCAGATCATTCCCTTCCCTTGCTTGAAAAATTGTTCCAAAATGAAAGTTGAACCCACTTCCGTTTGGCGAGTCTCAATAACCCCCCAAGGTGCTTTACAACACAATCAGTCATTCACCCATTCACACAAACATTCACACACTGGTGGGGATGAGCTACGATGTAGCCACAGCTGCCCTGGGGTGCACTGACAGAGGTGAGGCTGCCGAGCACAGGTGCCACCGGTCCCTCCGACCACCACCAGCAGGCAATGTGGGTTAAGTGTCTTGCCCAAGGACACAACGACAGCGACAGACTGAGCGGGACTCGAACCTGCAACCTTCCGATTATGGAACTATAAAATAATGTATTTTTATGTTCCTGAATAACGTCTGCCTGATACGTTCTTTAAAAACTTATCTTCAGCTAAAATGTACTTTGTTTACCAGTTTTGAATAATAGCTGGTCAGTTAATTCATTTGTCTAATTGACTTTAGGTATACAGATTTTAACTCTGACCAGTGCACAAAATAAAGATTTACCAGTTGGTTAAATTCAGCTTCAGATATTTGGTGCACCAACTGATGTTATCAGTGACATTTTTGCATGAAAACAAGGCGGAAAATGTCTCGATATTGGCCGTGAAAATTAGCTCAAAGAAATCGGTAGCACATTTCAGCCATCGTCCGACCATGACCTCTACAGGTTGGCATCGGTGTCGGCAATAGAAAAGAAAAAAACTATATCGGTGGACCTCTTCTGACACAAGGAAATTGAATTAAGAGTTCACGACAGGTTCCCACTTTTCACAATCAATTGTCATGCAAATTTCCTGAAAACTATAAAAACTCCAGTAGAACAAAAGCCAGGTCCTGCAACTCACTCAGAGAAACTGACAACCTAGCTAACTTTTTCCTGCATTTCTGAAACTGGGAGCCCAGTGGCTTGACATATGGAATCAGCTTAAGATGAGAGGGAATTGGGATTGTTACACTCAACAGAAACCTGGATCCATTGGTTATTGCCGCAGATCCTTCCCTTGAGTTCATGCTGAAGAGTGAACTGGAACTCTAAATCCCTTCAAATTACACGAGTTTTCTAATTTTACATTTCTAACTTTTTGTCAGTGTTGATTTTCTGTTCCTAAACACAACAATTACCACTATGCATTAAAAAGTAAGGATGCACTTCCTGTTGGAGGCCACGGGACAATCATAAAACACGGTAAAATCAGCACTGGTGTAATAACAGAGGAAGAAAGGAAGCCACCCACCAGAATACAAATAGACAAACACAAATTGAGGGCAGAGCAGCACTCTGTGAGCAGGTTTCAGCAATATCTGTTTCAAAGTCAAACGCCACCATAGGCAGACGGAGACAAGCCCCGTCAATCACTCACCGGGTCAGATGCCAACTGGCAACCAAAGATCTGTAACAGCTGTACGTTTCCTTTTGTTTCTCTGAGATCCTGTCCTTCAGCGGTGCCTTGAGGCTTCATGACAGCTCGTATTGATCCACTTCACCATCACTCAGACCTGACGAATGGCTTTAAACTGGCAATAAGTGGGATCATTGAACCCTCTGAAATTCAACCATCTGATGTGCTACAGGCGAGGCCCCAGGAGACGACGGGGGAGAGAAATACTGACAAACAAATGCAAAGTCGCATCATTTCATAACCGGATGCTCTGCCGCGGCACCTCTTTGGTGTGTTGTTCTGAAAAGTGGTGCTCTCTTTTGATGTCTGGGACCAGTCATCTCTCTGTTTAATCCACCACTTTTAGTACATTGTCATGCATAACTCCTCTCCTCTTTCCTTTATCATTTAGGAAAACCTGCATCAGAAATGTCAGCTCCGGAGTCAACAGGTCATAGCAGAGCTCTCTCTCTGAGCTTTTACCCACTTCGGATTTCCCAACCTTCACCGACGCGGGCACGAGGTTATTGCGCATGCACGGTGGATTTTAATTTGAACTTTTTTTTTGACTGAGAGGTTAATTAAATTAATGTGACAAGGAGACGTTAGACAATGCTGTAAATGTCATTCAGCAGCTATTCAGCACAGAGCATAATAAATCCAGCAACTGTGAAATGAAAGCCTTGTAACCAATGAACTGCAAAAAAGAAAACACACGGTCTAAAATTTATTTTAACAAGAAGCCTCGCACTGGGATGGCGGGGCACTGAACACACACACACACACAGAATAGTTTCTGCAAACCTGTTGATGCAAATAATGTTCCTTATCACTAATGAGCCTTTTTTCTTTAATTATGAGAATAATTTAGCAGGCCCTCAACCTGTCCAAGCAACTGTTGCTTCCCATTGCTCCATCTCAGTGTTAGGCATTCAGTATTTTCTTTTTTTTTTTTTTTTTTTTTTTGGTGTGTGTGTGCGTGTAGGAGGGGGTGGCTTCCAAGAGGCTGGTATTTGAACATTTTGACGTTTGATGCCAGGATGGCTGACTAAAAGCGCACAGACACGTGCAACCCTGATGCAACCGAGTGAATGATCGGACAGGGGCACTGCAGTGTTGGTGCACATCAAACCCTCACAAGCTTTATGTAGTTTCATGCTGTAGAGATAAAAAATTGATAATAAATAAATAAAGCCAGAGAGTGCCTTAGCAGTTGTTCACTTCCAGCCTCACTGAGGAGAAGTGCGGACTGCAGGACCGGAACACTCACGTGCATCCGGGTTGCGGAGAGGAGAGGACACTGACTGACTTAACAGTCCAAGAGCTGCAATGCGTGTTTTTTCCCCCTCTGAAGCGCACCTGAAGCGCAGACTTGAGATGATGTATGCGGAATGACTGCAGGACCTGAGCGCGTCCGTGCGTTCTGGTGGGAAACAGGTCCCAGCTGTGCGCCAAAACAAGAGCCACGTTTCACTGAGAGACTTGTTCTTTGGTGTCAATCCGCTCCAGACCCGATCTGATCATCACCATACTTTATCTGAGCCGCGCTGAGAGGACTTTTCAGACCGAGCTGCTCCGAAGAGGACACGATAAGCACTCCGACTGTATCTTTAGGCAACGATTAGAGCAGAAATGAATGAAAGCAAACACACAAACAGCATCTGGAAGTGATGCTGAGATTTGAGGAGAATCTTGCGCAGCGAGCGCTCAAACGCACAACTTCTCCCCCTTGGAAGCGACACTCCTCGGGCTCTTTTTCATTTCTTTGATAATAAAACACAAAATAATTCAGCTTTTTAAAAGGAAAGCAGAACTCACCTTTCTGAAGAAACGCCACTGAAATCACGAAAACAGAGAAAGAAATAGCGAGAGATCCGCTCCCCGTGATCGCCATGTTGGATACCTGCTTGAGACTGGCGGCGCTACATCACCTAGAGACGGCCATGGGATGGAAATGTAGACACGGGGGTGGGGGGTGGGGGGTGGGGGGGGGTAGGGGGGAGCTCTCTCTCTCTCGCCGGGATACGTATTCTTGCTATGATATCTAGGATTTTTAATGATAACGATATTACGCACTGCGCCCTCGTGGGAGTTTTCAAACGTTTAAACTGGAATATTTCCCTGAAACACTGTATGCTCACTAGAGATATTAAATCATTGAAATAATAACAATTTTATAACCCCCCTCCCTTTTTTAATAGCTGAACAGCACACAAATATCCAGTAAAACACTTCATCCTACTAGAAATAGCATCTATGTGTTTTTAAACTTACTGTAACGAGATACTTTAAAATTAAATTAATAAAAAGTCATTAATAATGCAAATATTATAATAAAGTGTAATGATGTGGTGTGACAACACGTTCACAGCTGCTAATTTCAAAGAATAATAAGGAAAGTTTGATCCAACTCATCCTCTTTCGCCATGTCTACTCAAAGAGCGCCCCCTTTGCCTTAAACGATGTATTGCACCTGAAAGCTCAAAAGAGAACATCAGAATAAAACAAAAAAAAAAACAGAATGAAATATTTCAGGTTGGTAATGAGCTGAAATCCCCCCCCCCCCCCCCCCCCCCCCCCCAACCCACCCCTGGGCTCTCTCTGTGCTTTATTATGTCTCCTAACGTCTCAACTTATTCTCACCTGGAGTACATGAGGACCATCTCACGGGGATCGCAGAGCGGCAGAGGCTGTGCATGACAATGTTGCATCTCATTTCCCTTTTTCATTGTGTCAAAACAGCACAAAGGCTGCTAATTGCACAATCTATTCTCTGAGGCTGCGTGTCAGTCCTCATTCCATGGATGAGTAGATAGCATTTAGAACTTCTCTCTAATGCTGCAGCCATCCCTATCACTACAGATTGAATTCCACACATCACATTTATTTCAGATGTTATTATCTGTGACAGCTTGCCAGTTCTGCCTGCCACTCACACAGTGTCTCCACAAGGTGTTTTCTCCTCTCAGCAGTGGCCGAGCTGCTGGATTTTCCTGACAGCACCGGTGGGCATCCGTCTGCAAAAAGGCGCACCTGCTGGAGGAACGCTCAATAAGTCATGGTGTCGCTTTTTTCTTCTCATATCTGGAACTTCTCTCCTTTATTCCTTCTCCCACTCCCTTTTCAGAGTGGTAATAATTTGATTTGGCGTACACTTGATGGACCTCACCCTCACACACACCCCCAAAACACATCCATGCCTTTCGATCTCCTCCACTCTCTTCCTGTCTTGGTGACTCACTCAACTCAGTGCATGGCATTTCCTTTGGCTCACAAGATTAGATTGGGTTTGTGGGTCTCTCTCTCTGGAGAAGAGAAGCCCCCTTCCACCCCCGCCCCAGAGCAGAATGAATAATGGATGGGAATGGATCAGATGACCAAACTCCTTCATCTGGATCCTCTGTAGTAATGGCCACCAAGAAGATCCTCTCCGAGTGTGATTGAGTGTGCGAGGGACTGTGATGCAGCTTTCAAACAGTTAGGAATCTCCATCGTGAGAGCGCATGCACTGAATGGTGATGGTGATATTTAACAGAGCAGCCATCAGCATTTTCCATTTAAATTAGAGGAGAAACTGGTAATAAAAGAATTTCGCCTGGGCCCGCTTCTCGGCTAATGTTTGATTAGAAATGCAATGCTTTTAAATTAAGATTTCTTTTCCCCTTGGTATGAAATCAATCAAATTAACGGAAATTGAATTATTTGAGATGGTAATCTATTTAGGCAAACCATCCACCATGAAAATGTTTTCCTCCTGTTTTGAAAGGAAGAATAATTGAATCAGACCCTGAGAAGTGACCCCGGTGGCTGAGCCGGAATAAGGCCTACAGGAATGAAATGTAGATTTTCTCATGTTCGGGCTCCAAAGTTGGACATGTAGCATGTAGTTTTTCCCTCACACACAGCATGGGGCATGTAGCATAACAGCACAGAAGCTAATTGAGTGTAATAAAAGACACAGAAGTGTATTTCTGTGTCCAATCAGCCACAAAAACTTGCATTAGAGCCGCTTCTATAAAGGATAGCATTCCTACAATCTTCCAGTGTGTGTGTGTGTGTGTGTGTGTGTGTGTGTGTGTGTGTGTGTGTGTGTGTGTGTGTGTGTGTGTGTGTGTGTGTGTGTGTGTGTGCCACCCACAGTAAATTACTACAGGAAATGATACTCCAAATATGCCGCCACGGGTCATCAGTTCTTCATGCCTCTGAGGGATGAAGCACATTCGCTCAACTGGTTTTCTGTCTTGTTTTTGTCACTTCCACAGCCCATGTGGGGAAAATACATTCCCATGTTCGTTAGAAAAGAAAATTTGATGCAATTAAGTTGACGATTTGGCCGTAATTATTAATTAATAGAATTCAAATTGCTTGTTCCGATGCAGGAAACAAGCCCACCTGCATGCATCTGTATATTTACATGCATATAGTCCTTTGTGAGTTGCTGTTCGTTTGTGGCTTGCTTTTGGAAATCTCCAATATTCTCCACAGCAGAAGAAATGACCTAATAGTCAAACAACACACAGTTACCATGCAGTTAATCAGCCAGTCTGTGCACGGGTAATTTTGCATCCTGAGCATTGACATAAATATACTGGACAATTCATTTCCATAGGCTCCAATATCACATTTTTGAGGCCAAATGGGAGGTGGCCACCACCGCCATTTTGACCGCGTCACAGGTTCCGTCAAGCCCAGACAATTCCACAAAAGGGAAGAGAGGTGGAGCTGAGGGTGGGGCTGTAAGGCTGGGATCAACTGACGACACCCGTTCGAACTAGCTACAAGCTAACCTGAAGCTAACCCAAAGCTAACGCGGAGGTGGGAGCTAAGCTAACGGAGGTAGCAACCGAGCTACAACCGGAGTTAACTGTGCACAACACCAGAGCTTCTGAGTCAGAGATGCGCCGGGCTGACCTCTGGGTGAAACCGGGTGGAACACAGAGGTCTCTGAGACCTCCACAAGCCGGCAGCCGCACAGCAGACAAGCGCCACTGCGATCTGAGATGCGCAGAGCTGCCGCTGGGGAGAACCGGGTGGAAGGGTTTCCATCCCAGAGCTCCACAAGCCGTCAGCCCGCGCAGCAGACAGGAGCCGCGATCAGACAGAGATGGACCGAGCTGCGGGGAGGGGATAAGGGTGGAAAACATCGGTCTCCCGAGAGCTCTACAAGCCGATAGTCGGAACCCAGCTCCACCAACATGTTATATTTCAACCCATTTTCTAAAGTGCAGCATTATGTTAAATGCACTGGGTTTTACCCTATTACATTTAAATTTCATGGTTAAACAGTACATGTTAAAATCTAAGCTCAGCTCAGCAGTGACCTAAAATACATAAATATAATTTTACTTACCGAAAAAAATGAAGTGGAGGCACCTTGGACGCTCTATTAGTGCAATTAATGCCACAGCAAGTCATTTTGTCCAACAATTGCACAAAAAATATCCAAAAAAGAATACACAAACACAGAGACTCAAAATCCCGGAACAGTTTCCAAGCCAGACCGAGGCTCTACTGAGGCCTTTCCACGGAGCTAGCTCTGCGGTCACGTGGGTCTGATGCTCATTAATTATACAGAATTTTAGGCTTTTAATACACTTAAACAGAAGCGTGAGAAAAAAATGCACCCCCCTCAGAGTTGTCATGAGTGTAAACTAGATAATTTAAACCAAAAACATGTTTTGGTACCAGCCTGTAAACATGTTTATTTCTGCTGTGAAATTGGTGTTTTTAACATGGGAGTCAATGAGAATTTGCTCGCTTCTGACACCAGCCCCCAGCGGATGAGGGTGGAACTGCAATTTTTGGTACTTCCGGGTTGGCCTCAATTTTTGAGCCGCATTGTGGGGGCTTGATTCTGAGACACGCAGGTGATTCTAATAAGTCAGGATTCACTTGGCACCTTGCAGACATAGGTGTGGTGTACATCAAGTTGTCTGGAAATGTCTGAGTGTGACTTTTCAGACTCTACATGTGAGGATAAGAACGACTGAAGTCCTCTAGTTTCTATCAGTCTAAACTCTGAGGGACTGCAGGGACTACTGATGGCGTTACTTTGTCTGCTTTAATCACCTTTGGAGCTCGAAACAGTCTGTTAACCTGAGTGGTCTACTGTATTTATAGTAGAAGTTGGTGCTGTCCTTCCCATGCAGAACGTAAGATAAGGCTCCGGGGCCAGAAGGTGCCCTTGCACCATCTTCATTTGGCTGCCAACATCCTCCAATGAAACAGCTTTAAATAAACAATAAAAGACAGAATCTTATTATTGAATGTGGAAAACACGTTAAACAACTTTGGGAGAGACATAGGACTAAATTAGAAAAACTGAGACATAATTTGTGCAAGCTTCTAGAGGGGGCACAGAGTACGAACAACGATTTCAGCGAGTCAAACTGCACATTGCCCTCTAGTGTCTAGAAGGTCAGGCCAACATCATGAGCACCCTCAGCAAAAGCATATGCCACTAAAAGCCAACAGATACCCAAGACGATAACAATAAAAGAAAAAAAAAGCATTAACACTTCTTTTTTTAGACTTCCAACTACAATCCAAACGGGAGTGCTGCACACGTTCTTGCATGTAGCCTCCATTGTTGCTTATGATACTCTCACACTGTACGCGTCACTAGTTTTTTGCATCACTCCCTCTGTGCATTTTCATTGGTTGATTACAGACAGGGGTCATAGATTTTCTGATTCTGCTGAGGCTAGATTTAGTCATGAGAGAGCTCGGTAAGCTGTCGCTAGGCTGGTCATACTGGATGGTCACAGATCATGGTCACGGTCACTGTTTGTTATCCCAACTCGTCACTACTAAATATTTGCCTACGAGGGCCAAAAGTCACACAGTTTTCATCGGGCTTTACACACTTCAGTGGTTCCAGCCAAACATTTTCAAATGTTCTCCACACAATTAATTGCCAGCATTTCTCATCTCAGTGAGATTTTATCCTAAAAGCTAAAATCGGAATTAATTAAATCC